ATTTGTAGGAGCTGGGAGTCATTCCCAACTTGTAACTCTTCCAAACTCTTCCTATTATGTGTTCTAAGACTATGTTGCAGCCATAGTGCCGTTCGTTCAAACCGACGCTGTGTCGTCAATTCTTGATGAAATCGTGCGACGTTAAGGCGCTCCATATCCAATTTGAATGAAGTCTTTTGAAGTTGTGAGCAGATTGCTATGAACGTTTCAATCCGCTGTGCAGAAATCCGACTGTGCACTCTATCCTTCGTTTTAGGCACATTGAAGCCTAGTGTGCCTATAACAAGTGGTATCAGAGCCCCTTGGAGCAGTTTCGACAATGGCTGGACCTGAAGAAAGGGGTGGCAGAGGTGCTGGTGGCAGTGGAGAAGCTCATGCGCAAGGCCAACCCCGTGATTCAGCCATGGCGCCCGTGCAACCAATCGTTGGCCCATCTAGGGAGGAGCCTAGAGTGTTTGGCCTTGACAAGTTCAACGGTGACAACTTTGCTGAGTGGTCCTTCGGAATGGAGAACGTGTTTGTGAGAAGAATTGAACGAGAATGAATGAACTATGAATGAAGTGAGTACAAATATGAAACCTAATTGGGTTGTACCCCCTATGGGATACCCCACTATAGCCTACACAAAAGCATAAGCTAGACATTCTGACACACCCCGATAGGCAAAGTGGGGGAGAACAAGACCAGTCAAGTAAAGCAAAGCAAAGCTCAGGGTGGATCACAAAGTCACCACACATTCCGAGCACAAGTTCAAGGGCCACAAGGCCAGTTCACATGCAAGATCATATATAGAGATATACAAGAGTCAAGCAAGCAAGAGCAAGAGTATATATAGGTCAAGGTACAAGCAAGGTCAAGAAGTGAGCAAGTGAGGCAAGACAGGCACAAGACCCAGCTGCGTGCAGCAACGCTGATGATCACAAGGCGCAAGTGCCTTGGTGAAGACATCAGCAGTGTTGGCCTCAGAGGCCACGTACGCAAGTCGCAACTGTCCACGCTGCTGTAGCTCACGAGCAAGAAAGTAGCGGAGAGCAATGTGCTTTATCCTGTGCTCCAGTCGCTGCTCTCGACACAAGGCCAGCATGGCCTTGTTGTCTACGTACAGGACTGGAGGAGAACGAGGCGGCTCTCCAAGGTCGATCAGCAGGTAGGTGAGCCAGCGAAGCTCCTGAGCAGCCATCGCCCCGGCGTAGATCTCAGCCTCACAACTGGAGCCGAGAACAGAAGACGAGCGAGTAGCCCGCCACGAAACAGAGCCGGAACCAAGGCGGAAGGTGTAACCCTGTGACGACCGCTGCGTAGCCTGGTCGTCAGCCCAAGAAGCGTCCGCGTGCCCAGTGAGGACCACTGGACTGCGCCCTCCAAGCACTAGCCCCATGCCCGACGTACTACACAAGTAGCGCAACACCCTCTTCGCTGCAGCCATGTGCTCTGGTCGGTGTTTCCCAGGAGCTACATAGCGTGCGAGAATGCTAAGACGGTATGCAAGGTCAGGTCGTGTGCAGGTCATCAGGTACATGAGGCAGCCAACAAGCTCTGCATACGGGCCACTCGACTCTACGGACTCATCCGAAGGCAGAGCTGAGAGCGAGTGGCGAGTAGGCAGAGGAGTGGCCTGAGGCGAGGAGTACGTGAAGCCGAAGCGCTGAAGGGCCTGCTGCACCATGTGTGACTGAGTCAGGGTAATGGTGCGGCGTGCTCTGTCCCGGGTGATCTGCAAGCCAAGGTAGCTGCGCAGTTCACCCAGGTCAGTGCACGTGTGTCTCTTCTGCAGCTCAGACTTCACGTAGGCGAGTCCACCAGTGTCAGCTGTAGCAAAGACCAAGTCGTCGACGTACACGAGGATGTAGAACGGCGGCAGAGAGGTGTCGGTGCGCAGAAACAGCGACGGGTTGGCAGTAGAAGGAGCAAACCCAAGTGCCGCAAGCGTAGTCCTCAGTGTGTCATGCCACTCACGTGGCGCCTGGCGGAGACCGTAGACTGGACGCCAGAGACTCCACTGGGTACCAGGAGGAAAAGACCCAGTGAAGCCAGGTGGGTGACGCAGTCAGATCTCCTCGTGCAGGCTGCCCTGCAAGAAAGCAGTGCTGAAGCCGAGAGAGTGCAGCTCGTAGTCACGGTGAGCAGCAACGTGCAGCAGTACCCGAAGAGTGGTCATCTTCGGGGTGGGGGAGAAGGTGTGAAAGTAGTCAACTCCCTGCCGCTGACTGAAGCCACGAGCCACGTAACGCGCCTTGAAGACAGGCGGAGAACCCGGCGGCCGCTTCACCCTGAAGATCCACATGCCACTGACTATGTTCGCCCCAGGAGGGGGAACAGCATCAACGTAGGTGCCTGTGGACTTCCAGGACGCCATCTCTGCATCCATAGCTGCCTGCCACTGAGAAGAGTAGGGACCCTCTATCGCCTCCGCGTAAGAGCGCGGAGTCGGGATGTCAAGTGCATCCGGGTCTCCCTCAGGGGCTAGCAGTACAGACGCGAGATGAGGTGAAGCGGCGGCCAGACACTGGAACTCCTCCTGCCTGTCCTCAAGGACGTCCGTGCCAAGGGCACACTCACCCCCGACGGACGGAGGATAGACTGACTCAGACTCAGCGACAAGACTAGCAGCGTAGTCTAGACGACAGCGCGCAGCAAAGTCGACGAGCTCAGTGACAAGGGCAGACGCAGCAGAAGACTCGAAAGAAGGGTCAGTGACTGCAGTAGCAAGGAGATGCGTGACAGTAGGACTGGCAGCACGACGAGAGTCCGACTCCGGGTCGGCAAGAGCAGGAAGAGAGGAAGCAGGAGGACAAGGTAAAGGGGCACGCAGAGGAGCAGTGGACGGACACAGAGACATCCGGTGCGTGCCAGGGACAGGAGGAGGACGCTGACGCGAACCGCGACCACTAGTGCGTGCACTACGAACAGGAGACGCAGGACGAGACGTAGGCTCACGACGCTCAGTAAGACCTCCAGACAGACCAGCGTAGGGAGAAGGAGCAGGCAAAAGGGAGGCAGGCTGTAGCTGTGACTGTGACGGGACTGGCTGTGGACCCTCTAAGGGAGGAGGAGGAGGACCAGGAGAAGGTGTAAGACCAAGAACCTGCTGCAGGAGCGGAATGAAGTACGGTCGGGGCCGCGTGGCGACGCCAGAAACAGCAGGGATAACACCAGTACCCCCAGCAGGAGCACCCGCACCCACAGCACCTCCAGCAGCACCGGAACCTCCAGCAGCACCAGGAGCACTGCCAGGCGGACCGCCAGCGGTAGTCTCAGAGCCAACACCCTCAGCAGCACCAGCTCCAGGAGAACCCTCAGGCCCAGCAGCTCCAGTACCCACAGCACGAGCACCTTCGGGACGCGCGGCAGCAGCGCCCTCCAAAGTCGAAGAACCTCTAGCACCAGCAGCACGCCTCCAGCGCCGGGCAAACCACTCACGCAACTCCTGTAAGGAGAGTGGCTCTCGGCGAGACGAAGCACCTCCAGGCGGAGAACCTCCAGGCTCAGCACCCTCAGGCAAAGGACCTCCAGGTGGAGCACCCCCAGGCTCAGCACCCCCAGTCTCAGCACCCCCAGGCCCAGCACCCCCAGGCTCAGCACCCCCAGACTCAGTACCCCCAAGCTCAGCACCCCCAGGCTCAGCACCTCCAGACTCCGCACCCTCAGGCTTAGCACCCCCAGGCTCAGCACCCCCAGTACCAACACCCCCAGGCTCAGCTCCCGCAGCAGCACCAGAGTCACCAGTGACCTCGACTGGCTCGACCGCGTCTACCTGGGACACACCTGAAAGGGCAGGACCCTGAGGGGGGAGGGGGTCTACCGCAGGGGGTCCTTGTACCAAGAAGAGCGGGGGCGGGGGGAGGGACGGAGTGCGATAGGGGAAGAGGCGGTAGTAGGGTACCGACTCGTCGAACGTGACGTCCTGGGAGGACAGAACACGTCGAGAGGTGGGGTGGTAGAACTGCCACCCAGGCGCGTCGGGGGGGAACCCCAGGAAGACGCAGGGAGCAGCGCGAGGGGACAGCTTGTCCGCAGACAAGTCGCGGACAAACGCCCGAGATCCCCAGACCCGGAACGCCGACGCATCGCCAACCTTCCCCGTCCACAGCAGGGCTGGGGAGGTCTCCGGCCTGGAGACCCTGGGGTGGAGGTTGATCTGATGCGCCGCATACCTGACCGCAAACGGCCACAGAAAATGGGGGGCAGCCGCATGCATCATAGACGTACGAGCGACGTCCATGACCATGCCAATGCGGCGCTCTGCAATCCCATTTTTCTGCGGTGACTCCGGAAGCGTGAAGGTCTGGCGGATGCCTCGCGCACGACAGAAGGCACGCAGAAGGCCAGAGGAGAACTCTCCACCTCTGTCCGAGTGCAGACGCAACAAAGGAAAGTCTGAGCCAAAGCTCTGCCTGAGCTGGAGACGAGCCGCGCGGATCCAGTCGATCAGCACCTCTGTGACATCACCCTTGCTGCGCAAGGGGAAGACTGTGGTGTAACGCGAGTAGTCGTCAACCACCAACAGGAAGTAGCGCTCGTGACCGAGTCCACGGACGCGGGCAGGGCCCCACACGTCCATGTGAAGCGTCTGCAACGGAGCCTCTGTCGGAGGAAACTGGGAGGAGTGAGGGGCAGCACGCTGGCGCCCCTCGACACAGGGGACACAGGCAGGGCTAGGGCCCTGAGGAAGGGGAGGGAGGGACCGGGGGAGACCAGACACAAGAAGACGGGAGGCCATGCCTCTGAGCCGAAGCAGAGAGGGGTGGCCAAGGCCGTGGTGCCAGAGGAGAGTCTCGTGAGACAGACGGCGACACGAACAGGGGGCAGACTCAGGACCAGACCTGGACGCTGCAGCAAACACCTGAACAGATGAAGGGACTCTACCAGACTCAGCACCGGGAGGAGAAGCAGTGGTCAGTGTGTACAGGCTTGACCCTGGCTGACGTGTAAACGTAGCTAGGTGGCGACCTGTGCTGGCCTCTGTGCAGTGTGTCACGCGCTGACGAGCAGGAGTGAACTAGTGGACACCCACATCCTGTAGGTCAGCACCACTCACCAGGTTTGTAGAGAACGAGGGGAGGTAAAGACCAGTCAGGGTGCCAGAGGGAGCCGCCGGACACGGGAGGACTGTGGAGAAACGAGACAAGACAGGACCCCCAGAGGGGTCTGCCAAGGACACCACAATAGGCCGACTAAGCGGCGTGAGAGTGGTGCGGTCCCGAAAGAAGGAGCGAGAAGCTCCAGAGTCAAGGGTGAAAGTGTGAGAGGCAGAAGCCGACACAGTACCTGAAAGGGCAGACTCACTAGTACTTGAGAGCACAGACACACTGGCACCTAGAGCAGCAGCCTCACTGGCACATGACGCAGCAGTACCAATGCCCGGGTCGGGCGGGAAACACCGGTAACAGTCACCATCATCACTAACAGTCACAGAATACATGGCAGCAAGGATAGCATCAAAGTCAAGATCAAAAACAGCTACACCAGCCCTAGACAGCTCTCCCCAGCGGGGGATCTCAGATGCCTCCGGAAACTGCTGGCGCCAAGCGTCGGTCAAGCGGGCAAAGCAGCGGCGAGCGGTGTGGGTGCCCCCACACTGCTTACCCGTGCGGTCGCCGGTGCGAAGGACGTAGGTGCAGGGACCGAACGCCCCACCACGCTGACGCTGCGAGTACCACTCACGGAGCTGCTGAGGGGCGGGGACGTCGCGAGAGCGCTGCTGCTGCTGCTGTTGCTGCTGCTGCTGCTGCTGCTGCTGCTGCTGCTGCTGCTGCTGGCGCTGACCACCCCCAGTGCTGCTCCTCTGGGACGAGCCACTCCGACCACCTCCACCATCGCCACCCCCGCCTCCGCCGCCACCGCCACCCTCGCCCCCGCCGCTCCCACTGCCACCTCCGCCACCACCTCCGCCGCCACCTCCGCCTCCACTGCCGCCACCAGTACCTCCACTCCCGCCTCCACCCCCACCGCCACCCCCACTCCCCCCGCCGCCCCCACCTCCTCCGCCACCACCCCCGCTAGCTCCACCCGCTCCATTGCCCCCCTTGCTCCTGCCAGAGCGGCGCCTACCGCTGGGGGCAGACGCCGCACCGACCGACTCTAAACCAACGAGGTCGGCCGCAACAGCAGAGGCGACAGAGGGTAACAGGGGGGAAGGAGAACACCCCTCAAAGATGGGGGTGCGCGGGTCACCACGAGAGGCCCCTACAGCGACTATGCTCTTCTCGGCCGCTAGCAGGGACTTCTCGAGGAGGTCGACAGTGAGGGTGGTGGGACAGACAGAGAGAAACTGGTCCCTAACAGCACGAAGGGACTCAGGGAGACGGGTGACTAGAAAGTAGAGGGTGATGTACATGGGAGGGGGGTTTTCGGCGAGGAAGGCAGCGGGAAGCGCAGCTCGGTAGCGAGTGTCACTAGCGCGAAGGTGGGTAAAGAGGTCAGTGACTGTGGGAAAGGCAGCAAGGTCAGGGAAGAGGTACGGTAGCATGAGGCGGCTCAGTGTAGCAGTGGAAGGGGAGGAGTAGCGCGCAACTACAGCGTCGTACAAGGCCTGAGCGGTCTTGCACTGACTAAAGTGGGCACGCTCGGAGGAAGGGAGGTGGCGACGCACAGCAAGACGTGCAGCAGCATCGCGTGTGGCCCATTTGGATCGAACAGTGGGGTCAGCATCAGCAGGAGGGGCAAGGACAGCGCCAGAGGCAAAGTCAAAGAGAGAGATGTCATCTTTTGATTCGCACTGCAAGTACAGCTGCAGGTCCTCGACCCAGACCGCAAAGTCAATGGCGCGACCCTCAGCGTCAAAGGCCAGGACACTGAGGGTGGCCATGATAGCAGCCGACAGTCTCACCAGAGAAGAAGGGTCCAGCAGCTCAGTAGGACAGCAACACAGCAGCTCAGCAACTCCGCCGGCCCATGAGTAGCAGCAGCCCCACAGGATCCGGCTCCCGGGACCGTAGACGGATCGGGCGGCTCGGGCGGCTCGGGCGGCTCGCGCGGCTCGGGGGACGCGGGGGGCTCACGGGCGGCGCGGGCGGCTGCACGGGCGGTTCAGGGGCGGCTGCACGGGCGGCTCACGGGCGGCTGGGGCGGCTCACGGGCGGCAGGTGGGCGGCTGCACGGGCGGTTGCACGGGCGGGTGCACGGGCGGCGCACGGGCGGCTGCACGGGTGGCGCGGCGGGCTGCAGCACGGGCGGCGGGGCCGCAATGGGGGCCGTAGCGGCGCTGCAGCGGGGCCTAAGCGGGGCCGTATCGGGGCCGTAGCGGGGCCGCCGACGGGCTGTAGCGGGGCCGTAGGAGGGTCGGCGGGGCCTAGGCGGGGCCGACGGGGCCGTAGCGAGGCCGTAGCAGGGCCGTAGCGGGGCCTAAGCGGGGCCGACGGGGCCTAAGCGGGGCCGACGCGGGGCCGTAGCGGGGCCTAAGCGGGGCCGACGGGGCCTAAGCGGGGCCGACGGGGCCTGAGCGGGGCCGACGGGGCCTGAGCGGGGCCGACGAGGGGCCGTAGCGGGGCCTAAGCGGGGCCGACGGGGCCTAAGCGGGGCCGACGTGGGGCCGTAGCGGGGCCTAAGCGGGGCCGACGGGGCCTAAGCGGGGCCGAAGCGGAGCCGTAGGGGTAAAGCGGGGCCGCGACTAAGGGCGGCGGGATCGCGAAGGTAAGGGCAACACGTAGGGTCGCGAAAAAAAAAACGCGCGCCTCGGGGCGCGCTTCGGTGGGCCTTAGGAACAGTCCCTAGGAGGGGACCTGCTCTTATTCCATGAGAAGAATTGAACGAGAATGAATGAACTATGAATGAAGTGAGTACAAATATGAAACCCTAATTGGGTTGTACCCCCTATGGGATACCCCACTATAGCCTACACAAAAGCATAAGCTATACATTCTGACAGTTTGACCACTATGACCTGCTGGAGGTGATGGAAGGAACGGAGAAGCGCCCCGAGAACAACCCAGAGAAGAGTCCGTGGGTACGGACTAGCGCACAAGGCTACCTCCTACTTGGACAAGCTTTGGGGAGCAGCCAGATCCGTCGCATCGAGCCATTCCAGCATGAACCAGAGAAGGGACCAAAGGCATGGGCTGCTCTCAAGGGTGTACACGCTCCTGCAACAGCGGCGGTAGCTGTGGTGTTGGATCTGCAAATGGCGACGCTACGAATTGAGGAAGATGAACCCGTGGAAGACGGGGTGCAGAAATTCTTCGACTTGTTGACGCGGCTTGAGGGAGCTGATTTGAACTATAGTGAGCTCCAAAAGAAGACCAAGTTGCTGGCCCTACTCCCTGAGTCATGGTCCTCGCTCATCATCAACTTGAATCACGACTTGCCCCGCCTCTCGCTTGAAGACATGAAGCGAGCGATCCTACAAGAGGATTTCCGCCGCCGTGAGTTGGCGAGTGCGGATGGCGCTGGGGCAGCGAGCGTCGGCCGTGGATATGGCCGAGGAAGAGGCAGAGGACGAGGGGGAGGAAGGTTTGGAGGCAGAAACTTTGGTGGAGGCCGTGGAAGTGGTGGTTACGACAGCGACGACAAGAGCGACGGTCGCAGTCGCGGGCGATATGACGGTGAATGTCATTAATGCAATAAGACCGGACGCATGTGGCGCGATTGCTACAAGCTCTCAGATGGATGGACCCCTGCTCAAGGCCAAGAGGGTAGACGAGCAGGAAGAGGGAGAGGACAAGGCCGTGGAGGCCGTGGCGGTCGCGGTGGCGGTGCTGCAAACATGAAGAGCAGAGACAACGACAAGGACCCGAGCGACGATCGGTATCCAGGTCTATTCTACTTCATGTCGACGCACGTACCGGCTGGTCCAGAGAAGGATGAAGGCTTTGAGGAGCCAGCAGCTGTGGGGAAGGTGACCCTACACCCCCTGGACTTTTGGGTGATCGATAGTGGCGCTACCTATAGCATGACACCTCGCCCCGACTTGCTCACCGAACTCGAGCCGTCACCGGTGAAGCATGTCTCATCGGCTTTGGGGCAGCGAGCAGAGGTGAAAGGCATGGGCAAGGCCATGTTCAAGGGTGCTGATGGGAAGATGGTGGGCCTCAAGAACGTGCTTTGGTTGCCCAGCCTTGCTGCGAACCTGATTTCTGTGCGGCGGTTGGCAAAGGCCGGCATGGACACGAACTCGAAGGGAGCCAAGACATACACCGCAAGGCTTGGCGATCGGATTCTTTGGGACCTTCATGAGGACAGGGACGTCTACAACGAGATGTGGCAGATCCCAGTGGTCCCTATGCCTAAGGAGAGGCAAGTGGCAGCAAGCGTCAGCACCAAGGGTGAAGCGGTTGGTAGCGGCGATGGCGCGAACGGTCGCGTTAAGGAGAAGGAGTCCAAGAAGTGCAATCTTGGAGGGACCAGCAAGCTCGGTGAACCTAAGGAGAGTGGTGCAGCAGCCAAGGAGCAGCACAAGGGTGAGGAGAACCCCGAGGCAGCAGCGGAGGAGGACTACAGAGAGAGTATGTGGGGCGCTATTGCGAACGCGGCATTCTCCAATTCAACTTCGGCTACGGGGGAGTGTGATTGGCTCACCTTGCATCGGTGAATGGGGCATGTGGCCCTGCCCATCTTGCAACAGCTAGTGAAGAACCAGATGGTTGCTGGCATACGTATGAAGGGGGAGCCTGATGAGGTGCTTGGCTGCCCGACGTGCATTCAAGCCAAGTTCACCCGGTTTCCGTTCCCTAGTTCAGAGGCAACGGCAAAGGCACCACTTGATGAGGTGGTGATGGACGTGGTGGGCCCCCTGAAGCTTGGAGCTGCTGGAGCTGAGTACTTCCTCACTATTGTGGACGTCTACACCCGCATGACTTGGGTGCATGTGCTGGCCAAGAAGAGCGACCTGGCTGAAACGTTGAAGACGGATTGGTTCCCGATGGTGGAGTGGCAACAAGACCGTCTAGTCAAGTCAATTCGCACCGATCGAGGGGGAGAGTTCCTGAGCAAGGAGTTTGGGTTGTGGCTGAAGAAGAATGGCATTCGGCACTCCCTCACCATGCCATACTCCCCTGCAATGAACGGCATCGCCGAGCGAGCGAACCGGACGATCACGGAGGCCGCACGCGGGTTGCTCATCGAAGCCGGGCTACCCGATTACTTCTGGCCTGATGCGGTGCGGAGCGCGTGTGTGGCCAAGAACAGAGTTTTGACTCATTTGGGAGCAGAAAAATGGGTGCCCTATGTGGAGTGGCTTGGAAGGAAGCCAAAGGTGGATATGCTTCGGGTGTTCGGGTGCATGTGCATGGCGCTTGTGCCTAAGCATCTTCGGCACAACAAGCTTGGTGCCAAGGCGGTGTGGGCCGTGCACTTGGGCAAGGCTCAAAACAGCAAGGGATGGCTTCTTTGGGACCCATTCACCAAGAAGTTCTTGGTGAGCAGGGACTGCAAGTTCATGGAGAACTTCATGTACAAGGATTGGAAGGCGGAGAATGAGGCGAAGATAGGCGTGCGGTTTGGGGAGGTGAAGAGTTCCGGTTTGGAGCATGTGGAGCTGCCTTTGGAGCTGAGCAGCGGCAGCACTACCACAAGGCAATCTTCCCTTGTGAATGGGGGAGAGGAGGCCAATGATGCAGAGGAAGAAGAGGAGGAGGTGCAGCAAGTGAGCGAGCGTGCACCGTCACTCCCTTCCCGCACTACGAGTGCTCCACGGATTCGAGCCACACCGCAGCAATGCCATGGCCTTCAAGTCTCTGCAGCTGAGGAGGAAGGAAGGGGGAAGAGGAGAGTTCAACCCCCTAATAGGCTGACCTATGATGCATTGGGAAAGCAAGGCAAGACAGCCCTGGCGGGAGCGGCAATGATGGTCGGAGACGACGAGGAGAGTGACTACGAGGAGTGTGCCTTCGCCTTCTTCTCTCCGGTGGAGATGCCGGAAGAACCAGCAACTCTCAAGGAGGCCTTGGAGAGTAGTGATGCTGATGAGTGGAAGAAGGCAATGGAGAGTGAGCTGAAGAGCATCGAGGAGAATGACACGTTTGAGTTGGTGGAGCTACCGGAGGGGCGTAAGGCGATTACGTCCAAGTGGCTCTTCAAGATCAAGTCCGACGCCGACGGCAAGATCGAGCGCTACAAGTCTAGGCTGGTGACCAAGGGGTACCAGCAGAAGAAGAAGGTGGACTTCAAGGAGCTGTTTGCCCCTGTGGTGAAGCCGACGACGCTGCGAACACTATTCGCGGGAGCTGCGATCAAAGGTTGGGTGGTGAACCAGCTAGACATCGTAACGGCGTTTCTCAGCGGAATCCTTGAGGAGGAGATTTTTATGGCGCAGCTAGAGCGGTTTGACGATGGTAGCAGCGTTTGTTGGCTGAATTGGGGGAGGAGCAGCAAGGACCTACCCCTCTTTACTGTGATAGCCAGGGAGTCATTGCTCTTGCTAAGAACCCTGAGTTGCATGGCCTCACAAAGCACGTGAGGGTGAAGTGGCATTGGACAAGGAGCATGGTGGCCGCGGGTGAAGTTGAGTTGCGCTACGTGAAGACGACGGGGCAGCCGGCTGACATGATGACCAAGAGGCTGGTGGAGCAGCAGCATTGGAAGTGTTGCAAGCTGGCTGGAATGGCCCTGAACTGAGAGAGCAACAGGTCATAAGGCCAACAATCCGAGGGGGAGTTTGTTGGTGCAACCCTACGGTTTGCACTCGGCTTGTTGTGCGTGTGCGTGCATGCATGTGTGCATGGAATGGAATGAGTGCATGAAATAAATATATATTTCATGCTTATAATAGTGTGTGAATGATGGGTCATGATGTCGAGTGTGTGTGTGTCAAGTCAATAGCGAATTATCGCTAGTCGCGTGTAACGTGGTCATTTTGTGTGTTCCGCGCGGTTT